AAATAGTTGTTCCTCTGGAAAAAAGGCTCCGCTAGCCTTATAAACCCCTTGGAAAATATAAGGTATACCAACCAGCATTCACAGAAGAATTCAAAAATATTCATGCTATTCTTGGCCACATGAAAGGATTTCTTTTACTAATAAAATCCCCCTATATATTTAAAACCAAATTTGATCTATAAAAGTTAAATTTACACATAATTCTCCAGAGGATATATCTCTAAGATAGAGCAAGGAGTGTGATTACTGTTCTATTAACCCCTTGAATAAAGTGGCGTTGCAAAGACAACTCAGAATTTTAAAAGTGGATTTTTATAGCATGCAGTGTATATTACTACCTTGGTCCAAATCCCCTTACTGTGTTACCTTGAGTAAGTTAATTAACCTCTCTGTGCCTCAGCCTCCTCATCTGCCAAGAAAAGGAGGAAGAAGGAAGAGAAGGATTTTAACTAACCTATCTCATAGGTTGTTGTGAGGATCAAATAGGATAAAGTATTTAAAGAGGTTAAGCCAGTGCCTGGCACGCAGGAAATGTGTTAGCTATTACTATAATGTTAGCTATTACTATAATATGATTCTTAGGTTTCTTTCTTTCAGCATCTTCCCTTCCCTTCCCTTCCCTTCCCTTCCCTTCCCTTCCCTTCCCTTAATGCCCAGCAGAAGCAAGTCCTGTCTTTTCCCTTCCCTTCACCTTCCTCTCCCCTTCCCTTCCCTTCCCTTCCCTTCCCTTCCCTTCCCTTCTTTTCCTCTCCCACTGCCACCAGCATAAAGAATAAGTATATACTGGGAACAGCACTGTGTGACCAGCCTGGTTTGCTTCCTGTCTCTCTGATTTCCCACTGAGGAACACTTCCTCCCGCACTCCTGGCCCATGTGGTTTGGGTGAGGTCAAACTCAATCCTGTCTCCCAGGGACTGGCACATGATCCAGGCCTAATCAATCACAATAGTCTGCCCTCCCCGCCAAGCAATGTGCTCCTGGAGGGGCACGTGACCTAAGTTAGGCCAATCACAACTGGTCCCTGGGCACAGGTGGAGTCTCTCTCTAGCTGCCGGGCACACTATAGGCCTGGAGCTGTTGGTAGCTGCTATCTTTATTGGCCCTGGGGAAAATCTTCCCGGAAATGAAACCAACATAGCAAAAACCAGCTGTGACAGATGAAGAGGAACCATGCTCTGAAAGGAACAAGAGCCCTTGGATCCAGCTGTGTTACTCTGAACTGTTCAGTTACATGTGCGGATTTATTTTTTATTTTTTTTAGCTTATGCCAGTTTGAGCTGGGTTTTCTGTACTTGCATCCAAAGAGTTCTGACACATATTAACAAAGTGACCTGACCTGTGGCTAGAATTGGATGCAAATCTTTGTTTTTTTAGCTTATGCCAGTTTGAGCTGGGTTTTCTGTTACTTGCATCCAAAGAGTTCTGACACGTATTAACAAAGTGACCTGACCTGTGGCTAGAATTGAATGCAAATCTTTTTAAAAAATATATTTTATTGATTTTTTATAGAGAGGAAGGGAGAGGGATAGAGAGTTAGAAACATCCATCAGCTGCCTCCTGCACACCCCCTACTGGGGATGTGCCTGCAACCAAGGTACATGCCCTTGACCGGAATCGAACCTGGGACCCTTCAGTCCACAGGCCAACGCTCTACTATCCACTGAACCAAACCGGTTAGGGCCAATGCAAATCTTGCTAATCTTGGTATTGCAAAGAAAGCTTGGCAAGGAGAGGTGGCAGGCGTGAACAGCAATCTTGGTCTGTCTTTAGCCAGTTGGGGATTGCCGTTTCATCTTTCTGGGTCCTAGTGTACTTGTATGTCAAATGAGAGAGGTGAGTGAAAATCAATCTCTGAGATCCCTTTTCAGTTCTAACATTCCACGAGTCTCTATTATTCTTGGGTTCCTTTCAGTTACGTAGATTGTGGTATAAATGGTTACCGATTCTCATATTTTCCTGCTTCCTTCAGTTTCAACTTAAAAAAATATTCTATTAGAGCCTCCGTCCCTACATTCCAAGTGTTTGTTTCTTTCCCTTCAATTTCCTTCTACAGAAAACATATTTATGTTTGTGTACTTGGGCATAATGACCCCATTTTCTTCCCATTTCTATATTTTTAAATCTAATTAAGGTGATACGTTCCTTGAGGGTTGAAACTAGAGTTTTCCTGTGGGTGTAAACATTGTTTTTTTTTAATTGCTAACCAAGTTGCCCGCTTTTACAGAGCAGCAGGATATGGGTTTTAAGTAATGTAAGCAGGAAATGGGTCTCCAGCCCACGCAAAATAAATGCAAAAGTACTGATTTTCCTTGAGTCCACATCTGGCTTACTCATTTATAATTTCAGCCTGCACTGAAATTCTCCCACAGACCTACAGTGCGACATCCGTGTCTACAGAATGTCAGACCCAACTCGGAGCATTGGGTGATCACCCTGTGAGCCCCACTCGCACCTATAAATAATCTGGCTATTTCAGATAATAGCATACTCTCTCTTCAATGATAGGATGTGGGACCTGAGCTAAGTGAATATTAGTTTCATATCTTCACATTCACTGATTTTAAGTAATGCAATAGCTCTAAAGTTTGGAGGGAGCCAAAGGACCTGCCTCAATGTGGTCAACTAACCCATCCTCTAGAGTTAGAACTGTCCAGAGGAAGAAGACTGTCCCAAACCGGATGATACATGCAGGAAGCTTTCCTGTCTGATGACCTAGTCCATTCTTGTTCATCAGGACCCGAAGTATAAACAAGTCTCCAACCTCAATTGCCTTAATGGCTACTATACAACAACATGATCTGGAGGCAGAGGTTTCAGGGTTGGTTGGTTTAGCAATTCAATGATGCCACTCAGGGCGTGAGTTCTGTCTATCTTTCTACTCTTCCATCCATAGTGCCTGCTTTGTCCCACAGTGGACTTCCCTAGCGGGTGGAGGACAGCTACCTGTGGCTACTTGTTTCCTTATTCATGAGCATTGGAAAGGATGGCCCTTCTTCTGCCTCAATAGTCTAAGCACGAGTATTTTTGTTTTTGTAATTTTATTTTGGTAAAATTTCAGATTTGCCGAAAAGTTGCAAGAAAAGTACAAAGAATTCCTGTATGTCCTTCTTCCAGATTCACAATTCTAAATATTTTGTCACATTTTCTCTCTTGCTACACACACACACACACACACACACACACACTCCTTGAACCATGGAGAGTTCAAGATAAGAACATTCTCTTATATAACCACAGTCCAATGATCAAAGTCCGGAAACATAAAATTGATACAATGCTATATTCTAATTTATAGTCCATATTCAAATTTCACTAATTGGCATAAAAATGTCCTTTAGAGCTATTTTACCTCTGATCCCTGATCCAATCTGGGTTATGCATTGTATTTAGCTGTCACGTATCTTTTAGTTTGGGACAGTTCCTCAGTCTTACATGATCTTGGCACTTTTTAAGGGGTCTGGCTATTTTTTGTAATTGAGCTATTTGCTGTCTTATTATTGAGTTTTTGTATGTGCTCCTTTCAAGTCCTTTATCAGATATTGGTAAAGATTTTCTCCTAGTCTGTGGCTCTTCTTTTCATGAATTTCACAGTGGACTCTGGAGAGTGGACTTTTTAATTTTGATGAAATCGAGTTCATCATTTATTTCTTGTATGGATCATGAGCATGAATCTTGAATTCATTCTCATTGGATGGGACTAGGTTACATGTTCCACCATGAACCAGTGACTGGCTGGGTGGGACACAGAAAGTGTTAATAGGCTTGAGTCAACCGAGTTAGTCCCAACCCTGAAGTTTTCCCTGAAGTGTAGAAATGCAAGATGTAGGAAAGTGAATTAAAGAAACCCTAAGTACAGTTAGGATGCTGGGCTGGATACCAAGAAACATCCCCAAGTAGTGGCTCCCAGCAGAGAGCCTGTCAGAGTCCTGCTGCCTGGTTATGGGACTTTCCCTCCCCAGTCAGCCTCCTCCTCCACGGCTGCATTTCCATGTTCCAAATCCAAGAGCCTGTAATGTAAGTCTTCAAACCCCACTGTGGGATTGTGGCTAAGATGCCTGGCTTTTTCTCTCATGCTCTTAGGGGGCAGTTGTCATGTCTCAGGCATCTCCAGAGTCCCCTCACGGCACCTAGCCCAGTGCCCCATTCACAGTTCTGCCTTCGCCAAATCCCCAAGTGATGGGATGAACAAAACAACAGCCATTCCATTAAGTGCTTCACCAGCACACACCCCAACATCTTCCTTAGGCCTGCCTCAACCAAACCACTTGCCTGTCAATTTCTTATTCCCTACATTTGAAAGCACCAAAGAGAGAATAAAGATATTTTGTATTCTGCTTATATCAAAGTACACATCTATTACAAACCCTGTTATCTGATGCTTATGGACCACTAATTTTTAATCTACTAAAATGTTCTCTTTTTTGCATTAATAAAGTATATAATTGTTTGGAAGAGGGGGTGGCTGGGAGGAAAAAAAAATCATTTTTTTTCTAAATCAAGTTTGGAAAAATGCCAATGTGCCAAATGTCTCCCTTTCTTCCACAACAAAAGTTTTATGCTTTTTTCCCTCTAAAAAATTAGGGCAAATTATCACTACTGTCAATATGCATGCCTCTTGCCTCACTTTATTCCCACCAATACAAGCAAAACTGTATTCCATTGTCAAGATGGGACAATGAAGTCTCCGAATGGCTATGTGGTACGTCCAAGATACTCGTGGCTCTGAAACACACATGAGTAACTGCTCTGGAATACAAATCTGCCATCCACGACACCCAACTCCTATCTTTTCACCAACTGCCACTCAAGTTTTATCTGAAAAATCCCCACAGTTATTCTATTTTCCTGCCATCTCTGTTTACACCTGCCCTTGGCAATATATCATTAGTGTCACATCTGAATTCCACATGCTGACGTCCCCCACGACTGGATTTTGGAAGTGGGGCAGCTCATATTTATAGATAAGGCAAACAGGGAAAAAATTTTGAGACTCCACTTACATTCTTTGGACATTCCCACTTCAAAGCACTTCTGGAGTCGACAGTACTGGCATCGATTCCTGGTGACTTTATTAATAACACAGTTCTTATCTCGGTGACAAGTGTAAATCATGTTCTTCTGAATACTTCTGCGGAAAAACCCCTGCAAGCAAGCAAGCGAGAGAAAACTAAGTAAAACTACAGAGCTTCGCGAGAAATCAAAGCCAACCTTATCGATGCATTGATGGCTGGTTCTGAGTAATGAAGTGATGGCAGCAGAAACATTAACTTAGTTAAGCCTTAAAGTCCTTGTGAAATAGTAATAATCTGTTCTCCTTTTTTTTTTTTGCAAACCAGAGAGCCCCTTTTAATCAAAACTAGAGCTGACTGTTATTATCTTGCTAAAGGAAATTAATACCAAGCTGATTCACTTGGAAAACATAATGCAGAGTTGGGTTCTCTCCAAATAGGCTAACTTCATAAGTGGTTCCCTCGTCGGCCAATGATTTCAGATGAGTCCACTATCAAGAAACCCAATGTCAGAGCCACCACATTTACCAAAGAAATTATTTGATTAGTGACAGAATTAGGTCTTTTCAAAGAACTGTTCTCTGAGTTCTTTTACACACTTAACTCCTCTTAGAATATTTAAAATATGATTTAATTTACAAAATGTTTAGGGAAAAAAAACTTATCCAGAAAAAGAAAAAAACAGGAAAAGGACTGCCCATTTAATGGCCTATTCGAGCTGTCCTTCCCAATAGAACAGCAAGTAATCACATTGACTAATGACAACAAAATTAGTGAAAATGAAATAAAATTAGAATTTCCATTCCTCATTTTCACTGGCTACATTTCAGATGCTCAATAGCCACATATGGCCAGTGGCTACCTCACTGCACAGCACATAGACACAGTATTTTCTTAACTGCAGAAAGTCCTGTGGGGTAGCGCTTACTATAGCACTAACTGACACGCTTACCTAAGAGTCATCTAACGCTCTTGAGAAATGTAACTTTGTTTGACTTACTATTTACTATTGATTGGACCCAGACTGTGTAAAGATTGTAGAAGACTGGGAAATTACAAACACTATTTGTCTAGGATAGGTACAAAGGATTTCTGCTTGGTTGAAATATAACCCCTCAAATTACTCTTTTATTGCCTTGTAGGACATTAATGAGTTTTATATCTAACTTTGCTATCTTGATCGAGCATTATTTTTTTCCTTTTATCCCATTCACCCATAAATCCATCCATCTATCCATCCACCCATCCATCCATCCGTCTGTCCGTCCGTCCACCCATTTTTCCTACCTATCCACCTACCCAGATATTTTTCTTATAACCTCCTTTAAACCAGCTAAGTTACCCTCTTGGTTCCCTCATTAATGAATTAAATAAGTCTTCAATGTGTGCTTACTATCCGTCCACCCATTTTTCCTACCTATCCACCTACCCAGATATTTTTCTCATAACCTCCTTTAAACCAGCTAAGTCACCCTCTTGGTTCCCTCATTAATGAGTTAAATAAGTCTTCAATGTGTGCTTACTAAATATTTGGATTAATTACTGTTTTTTAACTCTTGGGAAAGTATATTTTGACAACAGAAGCGATTTATCCTGATTTTTGTGAAACACTGATGGGATAAAGCAGGCTGTTGGCTCCATGAGCACAGGCGCCTGGCCTTCTGTGTCCTCCCCATTTTATCACACAGCTTTGCCGACAACAGATAATTTAGTGATGCTTGTTAAACACACAGATGAATGAACAGGGAGTGAAGGGTACACCTGCTGCCTTCTCTCTCTTCTATTGCCCAACAAAACCCTCTGTGTCGCTATGAGCATTAAAAGCCAGGAGTTTTACACTCTCAATTGTGATGTGACTTTTACCTACATCAGAAACAATTCTCTTGAATGTAAGAAACATGCCGTCTAAACATGTTGAACAGCAAATAAGACCCACCATCTGAGTTCAACTTTGCCTGTAGTACATTAACACTCCAGGAGCCGGAACTAAAAACATTCAAAGTTAAAGCACATTAGCGAAGAACGCGCATGTAACACATTGTTTAGGATATTTACATGGGCACCCTAGGATTTTAATGTCTAAATAAACATATTTTTACTGGCAAGCTTCAACTGCAAATGGCTGGAAATCTTATTTAAAGTTGCTGCTCCTGTCATCCCAGACACATACATTTTCCAAGAAAACACAGGTTATTTTTATACTCCTGGAGCTACAAATATGCTCAGAATCTAAAATAACAGGTTGCAAAGACTTTGAAACCCTCACGGAATCTGTGCAGAGTGGTCATCTCCAAACATACCTTTTCCTGCAAAAAATATCTACAGGACACTTTTGGCTGCCAGATGCACACACTCACTTTACAAAAACTTCACTGCCCTCCTGCCAAAACCACTGACAAAAGAGAAGACCCAGTCTTTTCCGTATGTGTGAAGCAAGTGAGCTGTGGACAAAGCTGACCGCCATTTATTAAAAAGTGAATGTTCTGCTAAGCCAGTGTGGCTCAGTGGTTGAGTATCGACCTATGAACCAGAAGGTCATGGGTTCAATTCCCGGTCAGGACACACGCCCGGGTTGTGGGCTCGATCCCCAGTATAAGGCATGTAGGAGGCAGCAGATCATGATTCTCTCTCATCATTGATGTTTCTATCTCTCTCTCCCTCTATGACATCAATAAAAATATATTTTTTTAAAAACACACAAAAGGGCTAAATGTTCAGTTCAGCACATTCTTAGGGAGTGACCATGGAGGAGAGAGAAACAACCTCATGAGGCTCGGATGAAAGGATGACAGACGAAGACAGAATGAAAGAACTTTATATGTCACTAATTATCCAGTCAGTGCGGTCCAGGAACAATGACGGCAGAAACTAAATAGGACTTCTTAGTTTTCCAAATCAGATTTTTGGCTGGATTTCAGGAGAAGGTCTACGTTTCAGTAAATCATTTCCACCAAGTTAGAATACTTGCTGATGAAACTATATGCTGTGAGGTATTTTTATACACGGTTCAGGTAAACAGAAATGCCCTCGGAGGCCAAAAAGTGGTTTCCAGCATATAAATTTTCCTTCTCCCTCGTAGATACTATGAACTGTTACACAAAACTGGCTTCTTCTCTGACCTCTGCTTTGAAGACCTAATGTGCATATGTGTGTGCACGTGCTGATGAAACTATATGCTGTGAGGTATTTTTATACATGGTTCGGGTAAACAAATGCCCTCGGAGGCCAAAAAGTGGTTTCCAGTATATAAATTCTCCTTCTCCCTCGTAGATACTATGAACCTTTACACAAAACTGGCTTCTTCTCCAACCTCTGCTTTGAAGACCTAATGTGTATATGTGTGTGCACACATGCGTGTGCATGGCGGTGGGGGTGGGGGCATAGCTCCATGCCACCTAAGTTTAATTTAATATTTTTTCAGGTTGACTCTATATATTTAACATTATGTAAAATAGAAACATTCAAACTCTAGCTTAATTGCAAAACCAGTCCCCAAGTGTCAATATTAGAAGGCACTCATAAATAAAAAGGAAGTCAAGCCAAACAATAATCAGATGTTATTTCACTCCCACTGGACACTGGATCTGCTAAGGGCTTGGAGCCCCGGCTGCCTCACTCTTTGCTGAAAAGGGAGCTGAGCAAGTGTTAGAGGCAGATCAGCACTGACCTGACACTTCCTCTTGGAGGAATTCAGAGAAAATGAACAAGTGTCTCATTATGTAATTCCACGTGATTTAAAGCCATGAATCCCTCCCACTTAAAACTGGGAGCCTCCTACTTTGGGGAACAAAACTGTAACCGCAAACTTGTCCTACGTAAAAATGGGCTTTAGAAGTCCTGCGTGCAAGTGTGATAGTTTTTGAAGCCAGTAGTTGGGTAGGGACACATCTGGAGGAGAAAGGACTGAAAAGCTAAGCATATAAGGAGGAAGGATTTGATGCCTATTCGAGGAGCAGCCCAAGGGGACAGAGAAGGAGGAGGCAGAAGAGGAAGTGCCCTGGAGGGGAAGTCAAGGTGGTGGGTTGCAGCCTCTTGGCTACCACTGCACAGCTTTGGGCAGTCACAGAACCTAAGGGGCTAAGCTCTCATCTCCTAAGTGAGGGGCTGGGTGGCTTATTTCTAAGATCCTTTCCAGCTATAAATTTCTGGGATTCTAATGTGTCATCACACCAGAGAGTGAGGAGTTGGGATGGCTTCAGAGTTGAGAATGAGGGAGTTTCTGTGGACAAAGAAAATGGCCGAGGAGGAGGTGGCGTTGGAAGACTAAGGAAGAAGAGGCCCTCCACCTGTGTGGGCAAAATGGCAATTTCTTGGGACTAACCTTGGGCTTAAGAGACACCCATCTGAGGGCTTTCCTATGACTTTCACCTTTCTCTGGGAACTGCGTCTTCACAACACCCCCGTGAGGAACCTCAGGCAGATACACCTGGCTGGACTAAAGCTGGAACTCTTCAACCACTGGCCCATAAGCTCATGGCTGTAAGTTTTCAGGTCTGGTTTTCTGACACCAAGTCTAGGGTTGCTGACACCACAATTTCACTCTTTCACTTTCCTAGAACATCTTTTTCTGAGTAAATTCAGAAAACTTCTATCAGGTCTTCAAGATGTATGTCACTTCTGTTGGTTAATCACAACTCTTGTTAGTTAATCATGTCTTTCTACAGCGCATAAACAATCCTAAATCAGAAGGAAAGATAGTCTCTTTTAAAATTAAATATTCTCCAATAGCCCCAAATCTAAAATTCACAATTTTCTTGATGAAGTCGCCTCAAATCCCAAATCTATGGAGACCACAGAGAAACTAAAAGTGGCTTATGTCACTTCCTTTTATTCTGATATATTAAGTCGGGCCACCGTCCCTCTGTTAATACTATCAAATAATTGCTCTAATGCTTGTAATTTTTTCCCCCATTCATGGAGCCTGTTTCACTTTCTAGTTTTCAGGTTATTATTATTTTTAAAATATATTTTATTGATTTTTTACAGAGAGGAAGGGAGAGGGATAGTTAGAAACATCGATCAGAGAGAAACATCGATCAGCTGCCTCCTGCACACCCCCTACTGGGGATGTGTCCGCAACCAAGGTACATGCCCTTGACCGGAATCGAACCTGGGACCTTTCAGTCCGCAGGC